GATACTAAATTATACAACAAATGTGCAATGAGCATTTCTGTGTGAACTAGAGCTTGCATTTAAAAGGAAAATGGGAAAAGTCACTTTTTGCCCATTCATCTCTGTACATCTATCCCACAACATGGCGGCTCGTTAATGATATTCATTGCTAGACGCTGCATTGGTGGGAAAGGTCTATACAATCAAAACTCCCATTTTTAAATGGGCGTGTGACCACACCCATCGTGCATGTGCTAACTCATGTGACATTCTTTATACACTTTAAAATGTGACATTCTAAGCTTACGATGTGACATTCCAAGCTTAGAATGTGACATCATAGACTTGGGAATTTTGTTACAAACGGCGTGTCATACGATCGATCAAAATTCCTGGCATCAGTTTCTGTAATCTTAAGGCTCTCTGATGTTAGTTTTAATCGATAATTTTGAAACAATCGGCGTGCCATAGTCCGGCTGCCGGACCAATATCCACTTCCATTAGGAAATTGTGTTGCATCAAAAGTTAGATGCTTTCCCCTCTATATTATCAACCCCTAAGAGACTAAATGATACCAATAATGTACGATTAGATAAAAAAAACTAAGAAGTCATATTCCACTCAACATAATAATTCAGTTGATGCAATTTATGTGACATTCCTTTTAGTGCCTTTATGACCATTACCATTGCCTATAAAAATAATTAAAGCCAGCAGTATCCATACAAATGGCAAAGAGTTTATGACAAAGTACATCTTTCGTACAAATCCATTTTTATGCATTTATTGTTATTCTTTACCTGACAAAGGTTCAAAAGTTAAGTATCATTCCATTACACACTATATGTATTACCTTTCTTTCTTAAGGTATTTTAAAATTATGGAATCATTTTGAAGTACAAAGGATCAAAAGTTAAGTAATCATTCCATTACACACTATATGTAATACCTTTTTTGTTAAGGTATTTTAATAAGTAGCTATTTGAAAGAGTAAAGATCTTAGAGTATAGTATCAATAGTGTCATGTTAACCTTTCTCTTTGTTCAAGATTTTAGTCCCAAGTTCCTGTTAAAGGTTGAAGTCCATTCAAAGTCAGTCTCAATATATTTTGTTAACTCTACTCCTTTAGTGTGGGCAGCAATGTAGTAACTACCGCCTCCACGTGGCGCTGCCTGGGATCACTAGTGGTTACTACTGCTAGTGATGCTAAGAGCACTACATACAAGAAGAGTAACAGTAAGTCAGTAACTATGTATGATGAATTACATTCCATTGTTAGGTTAATGACATTAAGAGGATAAGTACCATTCTCTGCTATTGAAGACTAGCGCTATCCATTGAGAAGAATATTTAGTAGCATTGTATCTTAAATATTAACTCACTAAGCATCATAATTATTTGTTTTTCTTGCTATTGGTTGTTGCTTGAAGCTGTACATTGAGAAGACTATTACGAAATGTGAAGCATAGCTTAAATTGTTAATTTTTTGTTTACAATTGTAATTTTTAACATTATATAATTATTTTTGTTTATTACACAATGTCTTCTTTATTTATTATCATTTTTGATTACAATTACTGCGAGAGCCATTAATGCAGAAGCAGGTGATACACAGAAATGAGAGTAATTCATGAACAATGACAACAAAGTAACATTGCACACACTTCAGGCATACATGTAGAGTAGTATATGTACATGTACATGTACAAACAAGAGTACAGTGATTTGAATTAAAAGAATTAATAGACCAGTCTGATTCCTTCGTTCCTCAATCCAGTCTACAAATCTTCAGTATATAAAGTGCAGATCCTTGAGATGATATAGTTCAGGTCCACAACCTATAATAAATAATA